GCCACAGCGCGATCTTACTCTTAATAATAATATAAAATAAATATATTTAGTTACAAAATTTTAACAGCATACGTTTGTAGTTTATAATCAAACATATCAGATTTGAAACTATTAGTTATTAGTTCAAAGGCCTCCATCTAATAAAAACACTCAGATATTGATACATGAAATTAGTTTTTAAAAGGTACACATTTTTGTTAAAATCAGGAAAAAAATTGATGAATTTAGGTCAAAAGAATATTTTTATTGAAATACAATAAATAAAAACCAAACACAGCAAACATAGACAGAGAAATGCAGGTCTTTCAACTGTTTGTCTGAATAAACTTAAAACCTAATTACTTGTAATCTGTCGTTTACTTTGACTGATGACCACATACTTGGTTTATAAGGGATTTATTTGTTTTATTTAGGTCAACATGAAAACACGAGAACTCAGTTTTTGAAATTGAGAAATTTTCCGCCCTCTAGCGGGCATAATTTATTACTACCGGGTTTGTTCGTAAAGTGACACGACAAAACTTAGTACTTCCTGTAGACTTCTTCAAAGTAAAACACACCACGTTAACAGCATAATTACTCAATGAGAAAGCCAGAACGTCTTCATTTAAACTACGCAACTACTATAACTCAATAAATATGTTATGTGTCTGTGTTCACCAAGACTAAACCAACGAACCAAAGCAGAAGCTATTAGCAGCTAGCTAACATCACTACAAACTTAATCAGGTCATATATTTAAAACATGTTAGATTTTCAGCCAAACTTTTTAGGAGCCATAGTGGAAGGTCTAAAGGGCCACTTGTGGCAGCTGCAGACACCTGGGCTTTGCAAAATAATTCAAAAACATAAAACCTTTCATGGTTTTTGGCTGTTATTCAACTATTTTTGATTTATTAGTTATGCCTTCTGACAAATATGAATGGCACACCTAAAAACAAACAGTGGTTTATTTACCAGTTCCAACAAGTACAAATGGACACTTTCCTTTTCAACAGTCTTCCTGCTTCCTGTGTGAGACCTGAACCAGATTATTTTTGCATTTTCAGACAATCAGAAAGTGTTCGGTACTGTCAGACATCCTGATATCACGCTGAGCGCAAATGTCTTTATTTTGAAACCGGTCACTTTTCTGTCCATCGTGTTGTTTGTGTCATTCATTTCCAGTTGTCTCCGGTTGTTTTGTCTTGATAAAACCGTTAAGTCCTCAAGTCTCCGACTGCTTCCAAATATTTCCAAACAACAGATTAAGAAACAAAACAAGACAACAGGAAGTGACTTTTTAAAATATTTTTATTCACTGGCTTAAAAAAAAAAGAAGCATTCATTCAACATCAACTCAAATCAACTCTGGGCAGGTGGACCCTCAGGTGTCATCATCCATGTGCCTTTTCTTTTTTTTTGTGGCGTTTTCCAACATGGCCCTCGGCCTCTTTCCCTGCAGACCCGTCCAAAACACAACTGGGAAGAACAGATTCTACATTAATCAGACGTGAGCCAGACTTTGGGGAAGAGGCTGTTTTTTGATCCGTGTTGGGAACGCTCCAGACGTACCTGAAGCAAATCAGCTGATTCAGCATGTAAGATGGGTCGCTGCAGACCCGAGCCCACCCAGCTGTGTTTTGGGTCCAGTCTTTCTTTTGCAAACAGCTTTTTACACTCGGAACATTCAACAGTAATGATGGTTAAAACCCATTTCTGGAAAATAAACAAACAAACCACAACAACAGCGTCTGATTTACAAAGTCTGTGGTTTTTTACACGTTTCATGTTCAGAAACTGAACCCGGACAGGTGTTACAGAACACGATGATGCTTGTTGACACCTATACAAGTATGCACTGTGTGAGTTTATATATATATATATATATATATATACTTTATTTATGCATATAGTTTATATTTCTTCCTCTATGGTTTTCTACAGACGCAGCCGGGCGTCGTCAGCACTGCCCCCTTGTAGCCACTAGTAAAACTGCTGTTAATGCAAACTGTCCTGATTTTAAACAAATGCACAACATTCGTACCACGATAAAACTGGGGCCGTCTAGCCAGTCTCACAGAGACCAAGAGTGAGCCGCCATCACCACTGCTGCCGCCGCCATCGGGCCGGCCAGAATCCAGACATCTGAAGACGAAACGACTCAAGATCCCACAAACGGTCGTAAGGCCAAGTATTGTCACTGCAACCTCTTCCTAGCGTACATCTTCACCACTCCGACAGGTGAGACTACGGGTTTGGAGTATGTGCACTCGTCTTGCATAGCTGTGAGCCGGACCGGGCAGCAGGCTCACCTGCCTGGATAATGAGGACCTTTGGCTCTCCACAAGAAAGACTTTGTTTAGCAGCCAGAAACGTCCCGGCCGCGGCTGCTGAGCTCCGATACCTCTGCACCAAAACCACCGGGTCCAAAAATCAGCGCCTTTTGTCGTTTCTCTACAACTACATAGCAGCAGGTACAAGTTCATACCATAAATAACCCACTCATCATCAGCAGCAGCTGACTGGCACCAAAAACGGGAGGAAACTAGATTTCTGGAAACAATCCCGCCGACGCGTCCAAACACTGATTGTACGACGGTGGACTTCCTGTGTTCGTTTTCCTCCATGAGGCTGAAACACACCAGGATCACATTCCTGCACGGGTCCGGCCCTTTGTGGGCTCACAGATGGCTCCGTTGTTGGAGCGTTTAGTGAAATTCAACAATAAAAAACAAACAGCAGAACTTTGTGGCGAGGAAAGCCCGGATCCAGAAACTAAAATCTGCCTCTGAGGGCATTTAAACGTCGAGCCCAGAACCATCATTCATCCTTTCAGACGTTTTCATTTCCAGAACGCTGCAAACATCCCGAGCGTCGGCACGACAAACGTTAAAGTTGGCATCGAGGTGGAGAGAAAACGAGTGTACTGTGCCTCCGAGCTCTCACTCAACCATACGTGTGAATCTGGACCTGAACGGCACGGCGATGGCGACCGTTTAAATACTCAGACGGAGCGAATGAGAGGCCAGCTCTGAGGATCCGGATCAAACGGGCCGCAGGAGTGCCGTTTTCTCTCCCAGGATAAACCCAGAAAAACACACGGCGTTCAAAACAACAAGAGAACTAAAGAGGCAGACTGGGCCGAGCACGGCTGCTCTTACGAACCCGTTCCTCGCCTCTAGAGCCTTTGAAACCACTTTCATGGCAAACGTTTTTACATATAAAGCTCTTTCTACTCATCAAACTTGAGCCTTCGTGCAGCAGAAACCAGTCAGCTTCCTCTCATGGCAACGTCTTCACCCGCCACACTGGTTCAGAACGTGAGACCGACTCATTTTACAGGCAGAAGCACCTAGATTTCACGTCTGACGCGCTCTCAGTAGGCTGTTTTTATTTTTGTGTACCAGACACAAAAGGCCCGAAAACACGGCCGACGCATGGCATCGCAGAAACACACACACTCCCGCTCGGCTCAGACCAGCTGCTATTCCGGTGGAACTTGGCCCAAATCAGACCACTCAAAGTGAAAAAATATATACTACATTTGTTTAGATTTACTTTCATGCACAAGCTACAGCCGCGTAGTTAGCCAACCCGAGGAACCGAACCCTCCACGTGAAATGTCCCGCCCTTAGCAGAGAACACGCCAACAGCAGGAATAAGCGTTCCCATTGAGCAGAAGATATCCCATCGGGCATTTCTGATATCAGTAACATCTGGAAGCATCTGTAGGAGTCATGGCTGAAGCCTGCGCCTTTTGCTTTACATTCACTCGCTCCTCACAGTGAACCTCAGACAGAAACCGATGAGCGACGATGGCGGCGGCGAGCTGGCTGCTGAAGCTCCGGCCACTCAGTGATGAATCTGGGTTTGATTAATGATGTCTTGTTAACATGAACCCTGAGAGCCATTCAGAGGTAACAAACCGGCCACGTTTTGAGATGTGCAACAATGTTGGGTCCAGTACCGCGGTCCAAGTCTGCTTTGGTTTGAATTCCCTCCAAACTCACATCAGACGGTTTCTGAGCTCCAGCGAAGACGGGTTTGGACAAACTAAATATCAGAGACAATACTGCGTTTGTTTGTGGACGGGCACTTCAGACGGACCCGGCTGCTCTACGGAGATCTTTGGCAGCTTCATCAGAGGAGAACAGATCCACCGACTCCTGAGAGGCCTGAGCGGACGTTCCCTTCCATCCTCCGCCGTTTAGGAACCCGACCGCACCCTGAGAGCGAACGACTCCTGTTCCTGTCCCGTTCTGCGGCAGAAGTGATAGAACTCCACTACTAAACACACACACACACACACACTAACACACTCAGTCTCTCAGGTGTGCGTAAAACATTTCACAACTAACAGCTCGTTCACGCATTTATACCGGATACATGTGAAAACGTACGCAAAATATACAGGCACACTACAAGAGAAGTTAAAACACCCACATGGGGAATATACGCAGTGGTGTGCGATGGCGTAGCGCGTAACGCTGTAGCGCGTAACGCCGTAGCGCGTGACGCCGTAGCGCGTAACGCCGTAGCGTGTAACGCTGTAGCGCGTAACGCCGTAGCGCGTAACGCCGTAGCGCGTAACGCCGTAGCGCGTAACGCTGTAGCGCGTAACGCTGTAGCGCGTAACGCTGTAGCGCGTAACGCCGTAGCGCGTAACGCCGTAGCGCGTAACGCCGTAGCGCGTGACGCCGCGTCTCTAAAGCGCAAACTAACGGCAACAACCAACGTCTAACACAAAACTACGGAGAGCAAAGGTCTGGGAAGCAAAAAGACTCGGAAACTTTCGGACAGCTCAAATTTTAGCCTCCGTAGCCAAAAATCGCCAGACTGGAGAACCGAAAGCTCAGAGTTTCGAACACTGTTCACGTGTTTGAGTCGGTTCTGGTCTCTTTAGAAGAACATCACACTCTTAACTTAAATTTGGTTTTGGAGGCGAGTTCCTCCAGCCCTCGGACACAAAAACGGACCAGGATGTGCTTTCATCAGACTGTTCTTGAGCCGGCGGGCAACAGACGTCAGAGGAGGAAACTGTTGTTGGGAGTTTTGTAAATAACTGAAATGTTTATTTTTTTTTGCCCAGGGTTACATCTGGAAAAGCAAACGGAGACTCCGTCCCGCGGACGCATTTGGGTCTCCAACACGAGGACACTTGAAACAACGGTAACCAGAGCCGGTAAAACCGACTGTAAAAAGCAAACGGAACATAAAACAAAGAGGTTTTCTAGCTAGTCTGACGTACATTCAACTTAAAAAAAGACAATGCTGATTTTCTGCCTCTGACCGACACGGACGTCTGACAGAAGTTCTAAAAGACTTGCATTAAAATCCTTCACAGGAGATCTTAAAACACAAAGCCAACATGTCTAGTTCTGGATGCATCATGCTGGTGTGTCCTTCACCGCCGTCCTGGTACCAAAGTGCTTTTATCCTGAGATATGAACCGAGGACTGTACAGATCATCATGGCCGAACCATCAAGGTCCCTTCACTAGAACATTTGGTAACCGTGGGCCCGTCGCCGGGGCCGACTCATTCGGAAACGAGTAAAGTGCTGGGTGATGTCAACAGTTCCACATCAGGAGGTCATCTTGGTAAACGACAGACCATAATAACCCACAGCGCCTTTGTCCTGAGCTGACGCCATTGAGGAGGCAGATTCGTCTGACGACGGCTCTTCCTGACTTGAATTTTCTTGGTAAACACCTTTGCGGGACGTCAGACATCACCAACGCCCGCCTTGGGCACAAACGTGTCGATCGTGCTAGCACTTTGTGAACAAACATGGAAACACAAGATCGGCCGTGTCAGTCAGACGTCCTCCTGTCAGCTCAGACGTGCTCAGGCCCAGCGGGTCAAACACCGACACAGACGTGTGCAACGAGCAGCTAGGTCTTGCCTTTCTTTAGTCTTTGTCAACCTTAATCTTCAGAAACAAATGTACGATTAAAGTTCGCTAACCCTCGAAACTGAAGCAGAGGGAGGGCTTCTGTCGGACGGCAAGATAAACATCAGCATCGTCTACAAGAACAACTATCTGGAGAAAGTGAGGGCGTTTCCAAGGCAACTGTGACTCAAGATAAATAAAAAAAAAGACTGATTGTTTAGTACATCCTTCTCCTCCACACCACCACACTGTTGGAGTGATGTCACAGGCACACCTGAGGCGACAGCGCACCTTCAGCCACACGTCCAGGAACCTTGATGTGCTGAAGGAACCACAGCAGAAGCAGCACCAAGCAGGACCCGCTTGTGCACCAGCTGGGGTCTGGATGAACAACACCTCAGCGAATCCCCGTTTCCTGTCTCTGCTCGTCACCCTGAAACGTTCTTCAACGAGGAACGGCTTTCCTTCCTACAGTGCTGCTGGTAAATCTGCCACCCCAGAGCCGCGCCTACAGCTGCTGCTTCAGCTCGGCCTCAACAAGAACATGGAAGAACACAAATATGCTTCTACAAAACAAAAAACAAACAAACAAATAAAACAGCCTTTTTTCTAGAATAGTTTAAGATCTCAGAGCCCGTCTGGTGCCTCAATGTCAGCAAGTAATTAAAATTACATTTCCACCAAACAGAAGAGCTGGAAACAGGCTCTGAATCTGAAATAATGCACGGAATAATCACCAATAAAGAAAAAAGGGTAAAATTTACAACCAGTGTAGAAGACAGAACACATTAATGTTGTTGTTCTGGTTCTGAACATCAGTCAGAGGGGCTGTCCGCTGAGGCTCATCAGGAAGTGAGCAGGACAGGAAGCAGGTAACAAAAATCTTCTCAACACTGTCGGTAAGGTGCCAAGAAGGTCGCTCGTTTGACTCTAATCCTGAAACTGGCTCCTGAACTTCCACTAGAGCTTCCCGTCCTGCTGACGAGGCTCCCGAATCCGAGCGACGGGAAATGAAAGCAGCAGCTTTGGTTTTGTTGCCCAGGAAGTTGCTGATTTACAAACTAAGAGTCAATCCATCACCCAGCCTGTTCCAGCTGGGAGCAGGATCATAATAAACCCAGACTTAAGGACACACAAAGCCTTCTCAGGCGACAACGGCCCACACGGAAGACTAAATACAACAGAAAGGTTGAGAACACTCAGAGCGGGGAGGTACGGCAAGCATTGTGGAACAAAAATGGACGAAAAACAAAACATCATACAGAGAAGCTCTGAAGTAAAGGTGACAAACACAGAGCTGAATATGTGAGGGCAAGACCGGACCGGGTCGGGCCAGACTGGACCGGGCCAGACCGGACCGAACCAGGTCGGGCCAGACTGGACCAGGTCAGACCAGACTGGACCAGACCGAACCAGGTCGGGCAAGACTGGACCGGTCAGACCGGACCGAACCAGACCGGTTCGGGCCAGACCGGATCGAACCAGACCGGGTCAGGTCAGACCGGACCAGACTGGACCAGACCGAACTGGGTCAGACCAGACTGGACCGGGTCGGGCCAGACTGGACCGGGTCAGACCAGACTGGATCGGGTCATACCGGACCGGGTCGGGCCAGACCGGGTCGGGCCAGGCCAGACCGGGTCAGACCAGACCGGGTCGGGTCAGACCGGGTCGGGCCAGGCCAGACCGGGTCAGACCAGACCGGGTCGGGCCAGACCGGGTCGGGCCAGACCAGACCAGACCGGGTCAGACCAGACCGGACCGGGTCATACCGGACCGGGTCAGACCAGACTGGACCGGGCCAGGCCAGACCGGGTCAGACTGGTGTTAGAAGCAGCAGGTGATTCGTTTTAACAGACAAATGAAACCCACCAGAAGCTGAATGTTTTTTGTGGTTTCTGTAAAAATCAACAGGACTGATTCTGTGATAAAAATAAAATAAAAACAACTTTGTTCACTTGAAGTTTTAGATTAGAGCTGCTTTAGGATCAGAGGTCTGACTCAACCTGGACTCGTTAGGCCCGGCCCCGTCCGGCTTCGGCTCGCCGTCCCTTGCCTACATTCCCGTGCAGAAGGCATGCAGCTCGCGGTGGAAGTGTTGGGTGGGCTCAGACAAAACCCTGCTGAAGTCCAGGCAGGGGTGCCAAACATGGCCCAGTCCCAGAGACACCTCCTTCACCAGGTTGTGGACAGGGTCTCCCTCCACATACAGGGACTGGTCCGGGTCGAAGTCGATGCTCTCCTCGGAGACGGTCAGAACGCGGAGACTGGAGCCACGGAGCCGAGAGATGGCCACCAGGTTATGGGACCAGACCGTGTAACCTGAGCGCAGAGAAAAGGTCAACAGCGGCGCCCCCGAGTGTGATCCATCAAACTCCTCCCAACCCCGGACTCACCGTGCACCACCAGAACCGCCAGCTGAGTACACCTCCAGGCCAACATTACCAGAGGGTCCTCGTTCCGGTTGACGCTGAGGTCAGGGAAGTCGGGGCCATCCCTCAGGAGCAGGAAATGGGTCAGTGTTTTGTTGTACTGCTGAGCAATGAGCTCCAGAATGGCGTCGCTCACCATCGTGCCGTAGCTGTCCAGGTGAAGCCGCTCCAGGGGAAGGCTGGGCTTTAGAACCCGGAGGAGCTCAGAGCTGTCCACCTCCAGTGCCATGATGTACACTCGAAGGTTGGCGCTCGCACGGATCTGGGAATCATCCGGAAACAGGGTGTCATTTACCTTAGAGGCCGGCTGATTTATTCAAATTTTCTACATCGGCTGAAATTATTCTTAATTTACTGCCTCTACTAGACTGATGAAAGGACCCGAAGGACCCCAACACACCGCTCTTTTAAATGTTTTGAGTTTGTTTTATATTTGAAGTTCAATAAATATTAGAGATGTAATGATTTATTTAATTCATATTACACACAGTGAGTGATCAGTTGTCTTTCACAATGAACGAGCTGCTAAGACGAACATATCAGCCATAATAATCGGGTTTAGATATCGGCCATCGGCAACAAATTCCTTAAAAAAAAAAAAAAAAAAAATCGGTGTCGGCCTTAAAAAACCCAGATCGGTGGGCCTCTAATTTACCGTCAAGGTGATTAAATAATTAAGATACAGATGAATAAGGACTTTGGTTTAAACGTTACCAGCGCCTTCCAGTCGTCCTCGGTAGGCGTCCCTTCCAGCTGTTTGAACTCCAGGGCGGCGCCGTTGAGCAGCAGGGCCAGGCGGTGAAGCGGGGTTCGCCGCGGCGATGCTAACAAACCACAAAGCTCTGAGGTGAAGTCAGAAAACTCCAAAGCCAGGGAGTGAATGTTGGACAGCCGGTCCAGCTCTGACGGTGGGATGAGGGGACCTGAAGGACACCAGGACAGAGACACCTGAACCAGACCTGCTCCTGTAGGACGATGAGCTCAAGGTGAGCGAGACCAACACTGACCATGCTGGTGGTCCAGTAGACTAAGGTGCTGGAGGGTCTCGGCTGAAGGATTGGACAGACAGGCCAGGGAGCAGGGAGTCACCAGACCCAGCATGAAGCTGCAGGACAACCATCTGAGCTGCCTGCTGTTGGACAGCAGCTCCATGAACAGCTGCTGGATTCTGTCCAACAGGAAGAGCAGAACTCCAGTTTTATGATTCAAACAAACAAGCCATCCCAGTTCACACACAGCTTTCACACCATCTTACTCATTGATCTTCTTGTCTCCCTGGTGGATCTGATGCAGGATGGAGTTGTCCAGCAGTCCTTCCTGTTGGAGCATAAAGGTGTCTCCATACAGACTCAGCTTCTGCAAGTTTCTAAACAAAAGAGAAAGAAGAAAGCATTAGTCACTGACAGCAAATGGAATGAGTACAGAAATGACGCTTTACAACCTTTAGGAGACGTTCATTTCACACACATCAATAAAAAGTTTTACAGAAACGGCAACAACTGATCACGCAAGCAGCTCTGGGTGCTCTGCACTCCTGCACCACCGTTTGATCTCTTTACATCCTGTTATACAAAATAAACCTAGCAGACGCAGGTGACACGACACGTGTTGATGCTTTTGAAGGCTGGCGCCATAAAGACAAGGGTAAAGGTCCCAGAAACTCCAGGGAAAACTTCTGGTACAGAATGTTAATGGTGAACCGACGACTCCTCCGTAAACATGGAACCAGCTGGATCCAACGGTCAGATGTGGGGTACTAGATAGTTTAGATGTGTAGATGAGGGATCCTGTGGTAACTAAATGACTCGTTAGCTGTTCGAGTGACCTCGGTTTGAAAACAACAGATTAGCTCCGATTTAGGGTCGTCACGGTAACCGGTGTAGCGGTAAACCTCGGCAAAAAAGTTGACAATAATAACAACAGTCTTGTTTAAAAAAATATATATCTCGGTGGGTTACCATGGCTGCGGTGTAGGCGCGGTGACCCTTACCAGCCACCGTATCATCTGCTGAAGTTGCCGGCGGCACATGCGCACTTTGTTGTTTACAACCAAAACTTTCTTGAAGCTAAAGCTGAAATAATGGCCAAAGGAGGCGACGGCAGCGCTCAGGACGTTTATTATCCCTCAAAGAAGACAAAGTGGGAAGTACGGGCATTTTTTGGATATTTGAAGAATGCCGAGGGACAGCTGATAGAAGACGGCTATCCTGTTTGCAGCACGTGCAGAAAAAGTGTCTGTGAAAGGCAGCAGTGCTTCAAATCTCATGACACATCTGCGTGACCATCACCCACAACTCTACAGTCAACGCAAGGCAAGCTAACGTTAGCGTTTTAGCTAAAATGCGTGATCCGAGGATTTGGGTTGAGGGAGAATGCAACGAGTCGCTATATAAAGGAGCCGCAGCGCCGCTACCTGCATATAAACCGTGTCGCGGACACCCCCATGTTGAAATGACGCTATGCATTACAGGGCTCCCAGGGGCAGATAAGAGTTGGTCTCTCTCCGAGAATAATTATGAATTTAACAATGATTACTGCCTGATGACATTTTCCCGCATCTGCAAAGCTCACTGGAAGGACACAAACCGAGGACAATATTTTCCTGATATAGGGTTTATTACTCAAGTAAGGGTAAAAAAGTATCTGATTAGAAGGCTACTTGAGTACTGAGTATCATCTGATCTAATATTTTTAAAATGATGACATCAAACAGACATAAAATAAGAAGTTATGGGCAACTATTGGTATTTTAAAGACTAAAGGGAAAAATGTAAACAAATAAACAACATAATTACAAAATAACACATTTTAGGCAAAATTTAGACACAAACTGAGGACAATATTTTCCTGATATACAGGGTTTATTTAGTTGTCTGAAAATGTAGCACGTTTAAAAAATACCGCGATAATACCGAAAACCATGATAATTTTGGTCACAATTACTGTGAGGTTAAATTTTCACGCCGTGACAACCCTACTCTGATTAAACATAAGAATCCTAAAACAAACACAGATCTCCTGTGAAATATCCCCCCCCCCCCACACCTGTTCATAAAAACACTAAAGCAGCGCTGACAGACAGGAAGAGACTGAACAAGCTAGTTAGGAACGCTAGTTCGGGTCTGAACTGCCCACTGGATTCTGTGGAGGACGTGTGTGATGGGAAGATGCTGGCAAAGTTGACCTCCATTCTGGAAACCCCCTCCCACCCACTGCGGAGGCCACGGACATCTCTTAGGTAAACCGACACAAAATGTAAATTTAGCAGAACAACACCACTTCTAGGATGTTCCGTACCACACCTAGTTGAAACCATCGACATAAATATATGGACAATGGGTTTCCATAGGCTCCAATAACAAGTTTTTCTGCCAAAATGGGAGGTGGCCACCACCGCCATTTTGACCGTGTCACAGGTTCCATCAAGCCCAGACAATTCCATAAAAGGGAAGAGAGGAGGAGCTGAGGGTGGGGCTGTAAGGCTGGGATCGACTGACAACACCCGGTCGAACTAGCTACAAGCTAACCTGAAGCTAACCCAAAGCTAACACGGAGGTGGGAGCTAAGCTAACGGAGGTAGCAACCTAGCTACAACCGGAGTTAACTGTGCACAACACCAGAGCTTCTGAGTCAGAGATACGCCGGGCTGACCGCTGGGTAAAACCGGGTGGAACACAGAGGTCTCGGAGAGCTCCACAAGCCGGCAGCCGCGCAGCAGACAAATGCCGCTGCGATCTGAGATGCACAGAGCTGCCGCTGGGGAGAACCGGGTGGAAAGGTTTCCATCCTAGAGCTCCACAAGCCGTCAGCCCGCGCGCAGCAGACAGAAGCCGCGATCAGACAGAGATGGACCGGTCTGCGGGGAGGGGATAAGGGTGGAAAACATCGGTCTCCTGAGAGCTCCACAAGCCGATAGTTGGAACCCAGCTCCACCAACATGTTATATTTCAACCCATTTTCTAAAGTGCAGCATTATGTTAAATGCACTGGGTTTTACCCTTTTACATTTAAATTTCATGGTTAAACAGTACATGTTAAAATCTAAGCTCAGCTCGGCAGTGACCTAAAATACATAAATATATAATTTTATTTACTGAAAAAAATGAAATGGAGACTCCTTGGACGCTCTATTAGTGCAATTAATGCCACAGCAAGTCATTTTGTCCAACGATTGCACAAATAATATCCAAAAAGAACACACAAATGCAACAACTAATGGTCTAAGTTGAGAGACTGAAACTGACGGAACAGTTTCCAGGCCAGACCGAGGCTCTACTGAGGCCTTTCCACGGAGCTAGCTCTGTGGTCACGTGGGTCTGATGCTCATTAATTATACAGAATTTTAGGCTTTTAATACACTTAAACAGAAGAGTGAGAAAACAATTCATCCCCCTCAGAGTTGTCATGAGTGTAAACTAGATCATTTAAACCTAAAACATGTTTTGGTACCAGGCTGTAAACATGTTTATTTCTGCTGTGAAATTGGTATTTTTAACATGGGAGTCAATGAGGATTTGCTCGTTTCTGACACCAGCCCCTAGTGGATGAGGGTGGAACTGCAATTTATTTCACTTCCGGGTTTGACTCAATTTCAGAGCTGCATTGTGGGGGCCTGGTTGAAACACACCCATCCACTATAACAGCTATTAATTGCGTATTCCCGTCAGGGTTAGGACTGCAGTAACATACTGTAATTACCCCCACTTGGACTAGCAGTTTGCTCATCAATCTGATCAAAACTGCCCTGTTTCTCCAAACTGAGGCTGTTCATGTAGTTTTCTACATCAAGTAAGGATTTATAATTCAAATGGTTTCACACATAACCCTAACCGTTCATAACCCTTTCACAGGACCACACATGAACCGCCCATTTGACCAGGAGCTTCCTTCTCTGTGAGACAAAGAGAAAACTTTTGAATGGATGCTAGAAAGTTCTACAGAACAATGGAGGCGTCATGACTACAAAAGGAAAGTTGTTTATTTTTTCCCCGCAGAAATAAAATGTCCCAATGAATAATCCACCTTTAGTCACTTCACATAATATACATGTTTATATCTATTTACAGTATAAAACGCTTACAGTTTTCTACAGAACAGCAGATACATGAAAAGGGAAGTGTGTGTGTGCTGAAATCAGCAGGTCACAGCCAACAAAGCCTGCCAGCTGCACTGAAGCTGCTCTTTCAGACACCAGAGCAGAATAAAAACGTGAAGCTGTTAAATGTAAAAATGTCAGCAGATGCACACGAGCTGTTAGCTCCACAGCAGACACGACACGATTACGTAACGCCCTGTCAAGGTTTGTTTACAGCAAATGCTGAAAATTTCCAACAATGAGCGACTTTCTGAACCGGATGCTAACACAACCTCACCTATTGTTTCGGATGCTGGTACACACGCACAACACCTGGTCCAAGAAGGTGGCCATGGCGTCCCTCCATCGCTCCGAGTGCTGCTGGTCGCCATCAGGACCGAGAGGCTGCTCCATCCTGGCCGACGACGGGTCGTTGTTCAGCGGGCTGACGTTACCTTCCACCGGCGCGAGCTCCAGCTGCAGCTCGCGCACAAAGGAGCCGAACTTCCGCATGAGGAACTCCAGCTTGGAGGTGTCTTCGGAGCCGTTACAGCCGCCTCCACCTATCCGCAGCTTGAGCTCGGTCCACAGCGCGGGGTAGAAGAGACACTCCCTCCACCGAGAGCACACAGCCGAGGCCCGGAGCTTGTCTCGGTCGGACAGAAAGGAGAAGATGTGGACGATAAGCTCGCTGGGCAAAGCCATGGCTCCGACACCCCCGCACAGAGCCATGGCGACCTGTCTGGAAGACTACAAGCTAAAGAAATCGTACAGCCTTTTCTTTTTAAATGATGCTGCGGGGGAAAGCGCCAGCGACGGCTCTTCCTCTTGGTGGACAATTCGGTTTCAGCTTTGCCTTCAATACTAGTGGAACGTACCACTTTGCTCCAAAGACGGAAACATATTTAATAAGTTCAACGACGAATAAAGGTGTCTAATCTTTTGTAGTTTGGTGTAATTATTATTAAAGGTCCCCCATAATGTGATTATTGTAATTTTAAATCTTTACGATTTAGAATTATCCACGCTTTTACCCCTGTGCGTTGCTAAATGGTATAGTCTAAAAGAGTTCTTATTTTTGCCATACTGCTTTTCCCCACAAGAGGGCGGTAGATCCTCAGAAAAGAAAAACTATATGATTTGAGCCAACACGTGATGTTGGTTTCCAGCAGGCACCCCCGCAAGGCCACTGTTGAATTTACCTGTAATTTTATTTTTTTCTAAGTGAAAAACTCCCATCAAACATATGACGAAAATCTGCAGTTGTCTCCTCTTATCGAGGAAAAACTTTTAAAAATATTTTGGTTCACGCTGGAAATAAATGCCTCAAGTTGTTTAATCAAAATTCCCAACTTCATTGCATTAAAAGTATTTCATTGAAATCTTGCATACATTACCGTTTCATCCTCATTTAAACAGCAGGTGAGCCTACTCCTACAAGCAGCTACAGCCTTAAACAATCTGAAAGAGGAAATTTGCAATCTCAGCAACTTAAAAATACTTTTTATTTACAATTTAAGATCTGCAATACTCACATTTTAAACATAAACTCAAATTTTAAACATAAACTATCTCAGATGTCTTGGCATTATGTTTCACTGGTAATTAAATAAAATTTCCCCATTATCTAAAGGCCGAAATATTTTCCATTCACAAATGTTTATCTTTTTGTATATTTTACTAATTTGTTCAAATTTCTTTACCCATATTCACAGGTTAAGCAGCATTCAATCTATCCTCATGAGCATTAAGTACTCCTGCAATAACTAAATGTTATGGAAATGTTATAAGGTTGTGATATTAGTTGAAGAGGCACAATCACATAATTAAAAATGTATAACTTGAATGAAGATTAAATAATATTTATATGATCCAAAATAACCTCACTATCTGCTAATTATCAATTATGTATATAAGTTTATATATAAAATTATCGTTATTGTTATACCTGTCCTTGTTGCATCCAGATTACTGCAGACCTGCAGAGATTTGTCATCATTTTTTTTTTGCAGCAGCTTTGGTTTTCTGCTGAAGCGTCCTTGAGCTGCAGCGTTAATCCCACTTGTTGGCTGATGCTGCACCCTAACCAGAGGCAAAAAACACACACTTTGATCTTCATCAGAAATTAAAGTACATCACTTCAAATGAGGCCTGATGTAGCTGAATAGCAATGGGCTGGAGGGACGTGCCAAAACTGGGAAACCGATTTGTTTTTGATGCCGGATGGCGGCGGCTCAGACTCTCATGTTGATACCATAATGATGCTTCACACATCCCTCTGTGGGAAAGGTACGAGCTTCCCTCGGTGACTGGCTATAAATACAAAAGACAGAGGACAAAGCGAAGTTGATTGCAGCCAAGTGAAAGTCAAGAAACTCAAGTGACAGAGGAGCAAACAAAAAGAAAACATTTATCAAGCGGGTGAGTAGAAGCATTCACAAATCCTTCAACAGCCTGCCTCCCTCATTGCAGCCTGCTAATCAATGACACCCTTACAAACTCTATCTCAGTCCTCTGATTGCTTGCAGGCGTGTTGGTGTACTCCCCTGAATACTTATCAGGTTTAAGGCTGTCGCTACACAACGTTTTTCTGTCTGCATCGCCACCGGCTTTATGCTTGATGCCACCAGAACAACCTCCAACATAAAAACACCGTTTTGTGCGCAAGTTACATAAAAATCCTTACTAATGCAAGTCAGGGGTGATGTATAAAGTGCAATACTGAGCCGCTATCATTGTTGCATCCAGTTGTCTCCATGGAAACCAGGCAGTTATTAATAACTTGTAGCTCTGCAGGTAAACAGATGCGTTTGGTGATTAATCAGCCTGCAGCTCAGCTGGCTGCAGGTCTGCTTCCCAGCACTGAGTGGTGGTAGAGATCCACAGCTCCGATCCTGTTCAGCAGCTGCCAGGACCAAAAATGAGAGGAATAATATTAATGGTCTAAAATTCAAACAAAACACACAGGCTCGAAAATCTCCAATTGCTTTTGAAATCAAAGCATAATCAACATCCAGAACACTGTTTTATGCACAGTTGCAACTGCAAAAATGGAATTCATTAATGCATATTCACTTAATGCATACGCGTCTGAGAACGAATCAGGATCAACAGGTGATGCAAAAAAGGAAGGATGAAGGAGTGTGGAATCGTGCATTTATGCTGGTTTCCACTAAATGTTTACAATCACAAACACAGAATTCAAGTTTTCTTCATGGACAGAAAAATAGTCAGATCAAATAATTAGATGTAACTAAGTCATAAAAAGTCTAAAAAATAAATAGGTGATAGTTAGAAATTAAACTAATGGAGGATGAACAAAAAGCACAAATCTTCCCACATTGAAATCAGTTTTAGTGTAATTTTTGTCTTAAATAATTAAAATAAAAATAGAAGATGTAATTTGCTAAATGACTGCGCACATGAGATTTACACCATCAAATAACTTTAATTAACTATAATTGAAGCTTTATTTACTTTACTGAGTATGTTAGCAGTTATTATTCAAACAACCAGTTGACACACGCTCCTCAAAGCAGCCTCCTGCTTAGCTGATAATTAAAGTAATTGATGCTCAAAAACACAAAACTGTTTGCCTTCAGGTTGTGACATCATGATGAAACGACAGGAAACAAGAGCACAGATTCCAGATGGATTAAAATGGGAATGTAAACAACCAGCAAATATTCACCATCGTTATTCTGACAGGTTTTATGGGAAAAAAAAAAAACCACAAAATCAATTCGAAACATGAGATTTTGTGTGTTTTTTATTCATGCTGACCTTTTGTGGTCACCGTGTCTGAGAAGTTTGTGTCTCTGGATAAAAAAATTCAGACATTCATCCAGGAAGATATAGAAAGTTTGTACACAGCCGGTTTTCCAGACAAGATATTTTACACCAAGTTGGTTCAGGGGCGTGTCCAGGGAGTGGCCTGGGGTGGCATATAGCACCCTTGGAATCTGATTGGCCACCCCAGGTGCCACCACACTAATTTACTTTTAAATAGGCTTTTCATTGTCCACAAAAGGCTTGGGGGTAAAACAAAAAAAGCATAACCATTGGTGCCACCCATGCACAAAGTTGTGCCTCACCTGGGCCACCCCATTTTAAAAGATCTGGATACGCCACTGAGCTGGTTATCATAAATTCCACATAGAAGTTCATAAAACTAACAAAAGGACATTTAAAATAAGCATTTCTTCACTTAAGATCAAAATCTTGAATCATGCTTGAGCTCCATTCATGCCTTTTAGTGTCCATGACTACAAAAAATGAACAAAAATCATAGGCTTCATCCTTTTTTGCTTTCTTCTTCCTCCTGATGTGTAAAAAAGGAGGCAGCAGATTTTACCGTATTTATGCTGACCGAACAATGAGATCTTGCGGTAACACTGGGTGTGTCTTGAACATTTCTAAAAGATATTTTTTAAATGAAACAAACAAACGTAAAAACCTAAATCTCTTTGCTATTTTTTCAAATATCCATGAAGTTTATAAATCAATGGAAATTAAAATGTTTTTAAAATAGCCTACTGGTAAAACATCAGCTTTCTAGCTTTACTTGAGTAGTTTGCTTGGCTGATGTCTCCCTTCCCAATATGGCTGACCTGTTATCTGAGTCTCCACGCTTCAGACTTTGCTGGAGAAATTTCCTGCACCAGTGGGCGGTATGAACCCATTTGAATTCTAAATCCATGACTTGTGATTGAGGTAAAATTTTTTGTGGTGACAACTTTAAACTGTTTCTTCCTCTCTTAAACTGTTGGTATTATTCCATCCATCCATCCATCCATCCATCCATCCATCCATCCATCCATCCATCCATCCGGAGTCGGGTCGTGGGGGCAGTAGCCTAAGCGGAGAGGTCCAGACTTCCCTCTCCCCAGCCACTTGGGCCAGCTCCTCCGGGGGAATCCCAAGGTGTTCCCTGGCCAGGTGAGAGACATATTCCTTCCAACGTGTCCTGGGTCTACCTTTACGTCTCCTCCCGGTTGGACGTGCCCGGAAAACCTCACCAGGGAGGCGTCCAGGTGGAATCCTGACCAGATGCCCGAGCCACCTCAACTGGCTCCTCTCGATGTGGAGGAGCAGCGGGTCTACTCCGAGCCCCTCCCGGATGGCCGAGCTTCTCACCCTATCTCTAAGGGAGAGCCCAGCCACTCTTCGGAGAAAACTCATTTCGGCCGCTTGTATCCGCGATCTCGTTCTTACGGTCACTACCCAAAGCTCATGACCATAGGTGAGGGTAGGAACGTAGATCGACCGGTAAATCGAGAGCTTCGCCTTCTGACTCAGCTCCCTCTTCACCACGACAGACCGGTACAACGCCCGCATCACTGCAGATGCAGCACCGATCCACCTATCGATCTCACGCTCCAGTTTTCCCTCACTCGTGAACAAGACCCCGAGATACTTAAACTCCTCCACTTGGGGCAGGACCTCATCCCTGACCCGGAGAAGGCATTCTACCCTTTTCCGAATCAAGACCATGGTCTCAGATTTATTCCCAATCATATAATTCCTGCAAAGGAATGATTTGTCAGAGAAAAGTGTTGATTTTTTGGGGTGCAGACATAATTTGAGATGAAGTTGACTGATTAAAGTTTGTAGGGAACTGGGTTAGAACTGGAGCTCCGTGGGAGGTGGTGGTGGGAACTCTGTAGGAGAGAACAGAGGAGCTCATTAGGGAGCCAACAGAAGCTTTGACATCGTCAGACAGAGAGACGATCACTCTCAAGAAGAAACTGGAAACGTGGCAGCTCCTTCACTGCCTGAAGAAACGCGCGTCTTGGGATGAGGTGGAAAGGCTCGACAAGCAGCTGGTCGTCATGCTGAGAGTGTCGTTGAAGTTAGGATAAGATCTCGTCTGAGCTGCAGATGGGAGGCCAGATCTCCCAACCCAGTGATGCAGAAATAAAAGAATATTTT